CAGCTCACTACTCACAACTAACTGCCAACAACTCACTACTCACAATCCGCTGCTCGCTACTCGCTGCTCCCAACTCCCTGCACAATACTCACTACTCACTACTCACTACTCACTACTCGCTACTACCGACTCGCTACTCGCTACCCAATACGCAATATTCAGTACCCATTACGCACTACCCACCACTCATTATTCACTACTGCCTACTCCCTACGGACTAGTCACTAGTCACAAGTCGCTACTCACTACTTACTATACAGTACTCACGATTCACTACTCACGACTTACTACTCACTACCCACTACTCACTACTCGCTACTCCCTACCCACTACTTGCTACTCACTACTCACTTCTCGCTACTCACTACCCAGGACCCACTACTCCTTACTCACTACTCACTAATCACGACTCAGTTATCACTACTCGCTACTCCCTACTCCCTACGCACTACTGACTATTCCTTCCTCACTACTCACTACTCACAATGCCCTGTTCACGACGCACGATACACTACTCGCTACTCCTTACTCGCTACTCATTACTCACTACCCAAGCCCCACCACCCACTATTCACTGCTCACTACTTACTACACAATGCGCACTACTCACTCCTCACTCCTCACTACTCGCTACTATCTACTCACTACTCACTGTTCACTACTCACTTCTCTCTACTCACTACTCACTATCCCGAGGCCAGACCCCCCCCTTGCGGGAGAGACTCTCGCCCCGGCACCCAGTTGGGCGCACGCACAGGGGGGGAGGGGGGGGGGTCGAACCCGAAATGGAACGAATTACAACCGACTTGGCCCAATTCCAACCGTTCGGAGCGAATTCCAGGCAGAGAAGAGACCAATTCCAACCACAAACGATACCAATTCCAACCCAACCAAAAATGAGACCAATTCCAACCACGGCTGGGGTCTTCCAGATTCCTCCGGATCCCTTCGAAATCTTCGGAACTCCTCAGGATTCTGGAGAACTGCTATTAATAGTACTACTACTACTACCACGACTACTCCTACTCCTACTAGAACTACTAATACTACTACTACTACTACTACTACTACTACTACTACCACAACTACTACTACTACTACTACTACTACTACTACTACTACTACTACTACTGTTACTGTTACTACTACTACTACTGCTACTACTACTACTACTACTACTACTACTACTACTACGAGTACGGGTGCCATCACCACTTTTACTACGACTACTACTACTACTACCACTACTACTACTTACTACTACTACTACTACTACGACTACTACTACTACTACTACTCCTACTCCTACTACTACTACTACTGCTACTACTACTACTACTACTACTACTACTAGTACTTGTACTGTTACTACTACTACTACCACGACTACTCCTACTCCTACTAGAACTACTAATACTACTACTACTACTACTACTACTCCTACTACTACTACTACATACTACTACTACTACTACTACTACTACTACTACTACTACTACTACGACTACTACTACTACTACTACTACCACTTACCGCTACCACCACCACCACCACAACCACCATCACTGCTACTACTACTTCTACTACTACTACTACTACTGCTACGAGTAGTTCTATTACTACTACTAATAATCATACGAATTCTACTACGACTACTTACTATTACTACTACTACTACTACTACTACTACTACTACTACTATTACTTGTACTACCAGTACTACGACTCGTACGGCTACTACTACTACTACTACTACTACCACTACCACTACTACTACTACTACTACTACTACTACTACTACTACTGGTACTACAACTACCACGGTTACGACTACGACACCGACCACGACTACTACTACTACTACTACTACTACTACTACTACTACTACTACTGCTATTACTACGACTACTACTACTACTACTACTACTACTACTACAACTACGACTACTACTACTACTACTACTACTACTAGCATTATTGCGACTAAGACTGCAACAGCCACGCCTACGACTACAGCTACTTCTACTGCGGCTACTACTACCACCACTATTCCTACCACTATTCCTACCACTACTACTACTACTACTACTACTACTACTACTACTACTACTACGTCTACTACTACTACTTCTACTACGACTACTGCTGCTACTATTACTACGTATTGCACTACTACTACGAGTATTACTACTACTACTACTGCTACTACTACTACTACTACTACTACTGCTACTACTACTACTACTACTACTACTACGATTACGCCTGCTACGACTACTACTACTACCACCACTACTATTACTACTACTACTACTACTACTACTACGACTACTACTATTACTACTACTCATACTACTACTACTACTACTACTACTACTACTACTACTATTACTACTACGACTACTAGTGCTACTCTTAACATTAGTAATCTTACAAAGTCTACTACGACTACTACTACTACTAGTACTAGTGCTGCGACTAGTACGACTACTACTACTACTACTACTACTACGACTACTACTACTACCACTACTACTACTACTACTACTAATACTACTACTACTACTACTACTACTACTACTACTACTACTACTACGACTACTACGACTACGGCTACGACTACTACTACGACTACGATTACGACTACGACACCGTTTACGACTACTACTACAACTGCCACTACTACTACTACTGCTACTACGACTACCACTACTACCATTATTAAGATTAAGACTACTACAGCTACGACTACGGCTACGACTACTTCTACTACGACTACTACTACCACTACTACTACGACTACTCCTACTACTACTACTACTACTACTACCACCACTACTAGTACTACTTCTTCTTCTACTACTACTACTGCTACTACACTTGCTACCTGTTTCGCTACTACTACGACTATCACTACTACTACTACTACTACTACTACTACTACTACTACTACTACTACTACCACTGCTACTACGATCGCTATTACTACTACTACTACTCCTACCACTACTACTACTACTACTACTACTACTACTACTACTACTACTTCTTCTACTACTACTGCTACGACTACTACTACTACTACTACTACGACTACTACGACTACTACGACTATTACGACTACGATTACGACTACTACTGCTACCACCACCACTACTACTATTACTACTACTACTACTACTACTACTACTACTACTACTACTACTACTTCTACTACTACTTCTTCTACTACTACTACCACCACTACTACTACTACTACTACTACTACTACTGCTACTGCTACTACTACTACTACTACTACGAGGATCCATTTGCATAGTTTAGAATCGATGCAATTCGGTGCATTGTTGCTTACGCTTCGGTGCCCTCTTGCTCATCTTAACGTAGTGCTCGTGCGCAGGCCAAAAACTGAGACCAATTCCAACTCGAGCACGCATGTTGGCTCCCAGATCCTCTGCGTTGACATAAGGGGTGTCACTTGGTCTTCGCAGTCATCTTGGGCTTCTCTACAATTAACAACCTATTGTGGGGCTATCCCAAGGTGGTTGGGATTGGGCCCAGTTTGCTTTTCGCACTGGTTGGGATTGGTCCCAGGTTGGTTGGGATTGGGCCCAGTGGGTTGGGATTGGGCCCACACGCGGGTCGAACCCCCCCCCTTTCCAGCGCCAAGGGAGGTGGGGGGGTGGGGTCCCGAACCCCCCTTCCCCCTTCAAGGGGGAGGGGGGAGGGGGGGTTCGGAATCACCACCCTCCCCCCTTGAAGGGGGGAGGGGGGGGTCGAAAAGCTCACCCCCCCTGTGAAAGGGGGGAGGGGGGAGGTTTTGCGAGCACCCCCCCCTTTTGTGTACTCAGGGTGATCCACTGGCGCGCTTTCGAACAAAACAAAAAAAACTGCTGGGCCGCGTTCGGGGGTCGCATGTCATGGCTTGCGGCGGGAAGTGCGGCGGGGCGACCGTTCCGCACATCAGCACCTGGCAAGCGACCTCGGTTGAGCTTCCTGCTCTCCGAACAGGCCTTGCGGGTGCAGGCGGCGAACAGTTTGTGACCACTGCTGGCATTGCAAATGGTAAAACCTCAGCACCCCCATCCCAGCCTCAGCATGGCCATCGCTCGGACGTCCATTCCCCGTCCCTGTGTCAGTCTCGTGCGCGTCTTGCCTTCTGCTGGCCGATGCCCCTCGCCGGGAAAAACGCACCAACATCCGGACCACCAACCGGGTGGTGGCACCGCCGCCGCTCCGCCCGGCTCCTCAGCGGCCTCGCCGAGCGGCGGGCTCGCCCGGCGGGTCCACTGGCAGGGGTGGGGGACGCGGAGGCGCCGCTGGAGCTCGTCCCCCTCGCCAGGGGGAACAAACAATGGCATGAACTCCGACTCGGAGGTCCGCTCGGATCGGATCTCCTGGATCAGCGCTGGAGCCCCCATCTTTGGCGCGCAGAGCGCGCCACGCGCGGACTTCTGGGAACCGCGCTGGAGCCCTCTGGCGGCGCCTCAGGCGCCGCCCCTGGCTCGCTCTGCGCGCCAGGAAATGGGGGTCCAACGTTGATCCAGGAAATCCGCGCGGACCTCCGAGCTTTGGTTGGTTATGTGATTGTTGATTCCCGATTCTCATCCTCCTCAACCACACCTCCTCCAGCACACGCTCAGGGCAAGGCGAGGCCATCGGTCCCACGAGATCGCCTTTCATGAGCCTCACTGGGCCTGCCGCGATGTGCCCGTGCCGTAGGAGGCCTCTCGACAGGGTGTGAGTGGCGCACCCCCTGTCCAGTCTGCTGAATTTCTCCAGAGCCCCCAGGGCCCCGACAGCGTCGGTGTGGGAAAGTCCTGTACGGCCTTCTCAGAGCGTCCAGGAACGCTCTGAGAGCGTTCTGGAACGCTCTGGCACGGACGCAAGTTCGCCCTAGCCCCGTCCGAAGCGTGACCACTCTCAAAAAGGGAAGGCCATCGAACTGTGGGGGCAGCCCGACATGGAGAGGGAGCCCCGCGAGCACGGCAGGGGCGAGCGGATCCGTCGCCTCGGTGTGGCAGCCGCTCACAGCGCAGTGCAGCGGCGTTCTCCCGATGCCAGCCTGGAGCGGCACAATCAGCGACGCTATCGCCACCACCCATTCCACTCTCCTCCTCCTCCTCCTATTCCTCCTCCGTCTCCCCATCATAACCACCATCACAACTATCATAAGCATAAACTTGACCAAACAACAGCATGATCATGAACAGCATAGCCACCATGATCGGCATGATCAGCATGATCATGATAATGAACATGAACATAAACATAAACTTGAATATCATCCACATCGTCATCATCGTCGTCATCATCGTTATCAACATTATGATCATACTGATCAGAATGATCACCAGCATCGCCGTCGCCGTCGTCATCATCAGCAACATCGTCATCACCATCGTCATCCTCATCATCAAGATCATCCGCAGCAATGGGTCAGAGATATCATAATCATCACCATCACCATCAGCAGCAATATCGCCATCATAATCATAATCAGCAGCATCATCATCATCATCATCATCAGCATCATCATCACACTCATCATCCATCCTTAGCACCATCAGCAGCATGATCATCATCGTCACCATCATGATCATCACCATCACCATCACCACCATGGTTACCAGCAGCATCATGATCCTCCTCCCCATCCTCACCATCATCTTCGTCAACATCATCATCACCATCATCGAGTACGTATCCCCGTAACCGACACTCATCATCATAGTCCCCAATGGTGTCAACACCACTACGATCACCACCACCAACCAACGAAATCATGACCATCGCCACCGCCCAAACGCTGAACCGCCGTTACATCCTGTCCTCGACGCTTCCCTGTGGCACATGCACGCGCTCTCGCAATCACGAATACGCGCTGACATGTGGGCACCCACGCGTTCACACGGAACGCCTTCCACACCTCCGCGACGTTGGAACCAGCGGGCCATGAGTCAGCGGGATGTGCAAGCCAAACTGCAATCGAACGTGCGCCGCATGCGCTTCGCCCACATAGGCTTGAATTCATGAGAGGGCGGGCAAGCCAACGCGTGCAAGCACACGCGCACGGAACGCGCAAAGTACACGCACCCTCATGCCAGCAAGGACAGGTGCGGCTACCTACTATCTGGCCCAAGCAATGACTCGCCTGTTCATCTGAAAATCCAACACGTCTCTCCCTTCTTCCTCTCACCTCCACCCACTGTCCTCCCCTCATGCTCCGCTCCCCCTCACCCAAATCTGCTCCACTACCCTGACCTCCACATTCCCCCCAGAGAGCGGGATGGGAAGCAAGAACTCGTAAATCAGCAAACGCTCATGAAGCAAGCAAGAGAGACACGTCGGGATATGCCTCTCCATCTGGCACAGCTCCGCCTGCCAATAGCCTACTTATGGCCTGTCCCGCATCAAAGACAGCTTGCAGAGTTGATCTAGCACTCCGAAAGACAACGCACATTTGAAACATAGCTTATGAGAACGGGCGCTTGTGGCATGAGGGATAACAAGCGAGAACCGCCTCGGAACGACAGAGAAGAGTGCAGCAACATCAAACGAAGCTATCACCGATCTCACCGATCTCATCCATGCGGCGGTATACCTGCACTCGTGCTGAGGCCTGCTGAAGACCATGCCCACTCAAACCGTCTTGGAACACAATAATTCGATCGGACATGATGTCCGATGTGCATGCGCAGACACTGGAATAATATGCTGCCACTCGTGCTGCTGCTCCTGCTCCTGCTCACCCCAACCTGGTCCTTGTCCGTTGCTCGTCAACAGTAGAGGAACAAACAACTGCATAAGCATCACGCGGATTGCTTGGATCGGCCCTCCCTGGCACGCGGAACGCGCCAGTGGCTGTCCCAGAAGCGCCAGCAGAAGAGCCCATCGCCAACCCGAGAAATTATTTACGCAAGTTGATATTGCAGGCAGGACGCGGGCGGCAAAGAACAACGCCAAGAATGCGCCTCTGCACGTCCGCCGTGAGCGGCGATGTACCTCCCACTGTGGCCCGTCGGCTTTTCGCACTCCACACGTACTCTTTCTCCTCCTCCCGATCCTCCCCAATGTTCCTCCACCTCCACCTCCTCCTCCTCCGCGTCATCAATCTCCTCCCCTTTCTTCGCCTCATCCACTCCGTCTCCTTTCTCCCCCTTTTCCCTCCTTTGCGCCGCTGTCCCACTATGGTGGCGCAAGTGGCATGTCTCAAGGTCAATAGCGCCACCCGCCCGAGCCAGCCAGCGCGATCCAGTCGTCGAGCAGAAGCCCTCCACCCCCCTCCCTCGCTCCCACCCTGTCCCCCAGCCCGCCCTGCGGGGAGGCGCGGCGGGGGGCCGGGGGCCGGGCGCACAGCGGCGTCGCCCCAGCCTCCGTGGCCCTGTCCACCTCGGCCTTCTTTGCGAGCAGCCAGGCGATGACCTGGGGCGCGTCGCCAGGGTGCGAGGGGCTCCGCCCCGAGGGGCCCATCTCTGGACGCGGCAAGGCCGAGGCGCAGCCTGTTGGATGCGTGGCTGGCGGCCGCTAGGCGCTAGGTCGCACGCTGCACATATACATACATATATATATATATATATATATATGTGCATACACACATATATCTATACATGGATGTGTGTGCATCTATCGATACATGTATAGAAATACAAGACTGCATTGGCGCTTCGCGCCATGCATCTGTGTCCTTGCAGATTGGCATGCAGGCGGACATCGCTGCGGAAAGGCAGGAACATGAAACAGAACGTATAACGATAACTCCTCGTTGCCTTCTCCGGCATCGTCGTCACAATAATGTGATTCGGTTTTCCTCCCTCATGTGTCCTCTTCCCCATCCTCATTCTCGCCCTCCCCTGCGTATTATTCCCCATCCTCCTCTGCCCTTTTAGCGGAGGCTCCTTGGAGAGCTAACTCATGAGAGTTTCATAAGACTTCTTGGGGCCTTCTGGAGGCCCCCTGCTTCCAACTGCGGTGTCCCTGAACGGCCGGGTCACGACTTGACATGCTTCGGGGGGCCTCTTGGGACCATCTTGGGCCGTCATGGGGCTCTCTGCGGGACATCTGGGGGCCCTGTTGGGCCGTTTTGGGGGTCTCTTCGACTGCCTGGAAGCCCTCTCGGAGAGCTTTGGCGTGATGTTCAAGCCTCCTGGGCGGTCTCGGACGCCTGGACCAAAGAAAAGAGCATTCCCAAAACCATAGAAAAACATTTGGAATACAATGTTTCCTGCACTTCGGAAGTCTTTCGCGGGTGTTCTTTGTGTCGTCTTCGGGCGTCTGGTGGGTGTTTGGGGCCTCTTGGGGGCTCCCGAAGACTGGGGGACTTTCGGCAGGGACCCGCTGGGGCCAGGGATCCGGAGGGTCCCGTTTAGGGGTGGGGGGTCGCAGGGTCCCATATAGTAGAACATATAGAAAAGGGGATGTGTATACATACATCTATATATGTATATATATATATATATATACACATGTGGATATATACATATACAGAGGGAGAGAGAGAGAGAGAGAGAGAAAGCGACATCCTCGCCCTCCACCTTCTGCTCCTCCTCCTCCCCCATGCTACTCCTCCTCCTCCTGCTCCTCGTCCTCCTCCCTCCCACTCTTCCCATGACCTCAATATCAGGGGAGGGACCAGCTAGGGGGGAAAGCATCGACCTGGACTTAGCGATACATCGTCGACTGGTTTGCGAATGGGTCCCCGATAGCGGATCCGCGGAGTCCTCCCTCTCGGCGATCAATGGGCGCTTGGAAGTCGATGTATCCCCCCCCAAACGTTGCCCATGACTGGAGGGGTGGAGGGGTGGAAAGGTGGGGGGATGGGTGGGCGCGATGCGAGGGCAGGAGGTAGGCGAAGCCCCTCGCCGAGGGCGGCGGCCTCTCTTGCAAACTGACTCCCTCTGGCTGCCGAGGAGGCTGAGAAGGACGTGCACGGCGAAAGGCCGGGACGTGACGGGCAGAAAGAACATAAACAACCACGAATAGAGAATCTACGCGTGTGTATATACATGTACACATCTATGCATGTACATACATATGTAAATCTGTACACACTAGAACCATCGCGCGCTTCGCGCGCACTTAGGTTCTATCTGGTCGAGTGCTGACCGCATTGAGACAACAAAGCGGTCATGAATCATGAGGTCAACATAATCTCTTTCCTTCTGCCTCTTCCTCATTCCTCCTCCTCCGCTCACATCAACCGGTCGACGGGTGATCTGTCGCCAAGCTTCCTGGGGACCTCTTGACCCCTCTTGGAGGTCTCCTGGGGCGAAGATCTCGGGTTCTCGGCTCACGCTCCCTATAGTGGCCTTCGGCCCATCCCGCCACCGTGCCTTGGTTGTGGAAGTTCGTTTGGAATTCGTGGGAGGCTTCCCAGGGGCCTCTTGAAGGCAATGTTGGAGGCCTCTTAGGGGCCGTTTGGGGTGCTCGTGGGGCGTCTTTTTGGGCCCCTTTCAGGGGGCCCTGTTGGGTGCCGGGCCTCTTGGGGCCTCCTCGAGGCCTCTTGGTGCGGAAGGCTCGAATTGTCGGTTCGTGTTCCCCCTCTTGGGCCCATGTTGAGGCCGTCCTGGGGCTCTCTTGGGCGATTTGAGCCAGGATCACCCCTGAACGTTTCAGCAGACGAAACATCATGCATGCTGAACTGCAAGCTCGTGCTGTCGCCTGCACCACTGTGGTGTGAGGCACCCAAAAGGGATGAGACGCTGACGTTAGCCTTCTTGGGGCGATCTTGGGCGCCTCTTAGGCCGTCTTGGGGCACTCTTGGGCCGTCTTGGGACTTTCTTGCGCTGCCGTGGCGCCCTCTTTCGTTGACTCTTCGGTCGTCTTGAGCTTATTTCTGGGGCCTCGCGGGCTGTATTGGACCGTCGGAAGCACGAAACAGCGAGAACACGAACAACCTGCAACAACAACCGAACAACAACAGATTTGTTTCACCTCCTGAGTGCCTCGTGGGAGACCTTGTGAGGGCATCTTGGCCGTCTTGAAGCCCTCTTGGGCTGTCTCCAAGCCATGTTGAACCAATTTTGAAACGCTCTTGTGCGGTGTGGGGCTCTCTTGGAGCGCTCTTGGGCCATCTCGGCGCCCTCTTGGACGTCTCTCGGCCCCCTTTGACGTTAATTGGCGCCCCCCGCCGGGCCCGAAACGGCCGGGAGACAAATCAGCGCACTTGGGGGGCCACGGGTCCCCCTACCCATATATATATATATATACAAGTGGCACGTGTGTGCCCAGGCTCATACAACAAACTGAAGGGGCGTTTGAAGCAGGAGTGAAATGCAACATCGAAGTCGCACTCGAGCGCAAGTGGGGTTGCCACACCTTGCGATGTGTGTACCAGGGCCCCCAGGAAGCCTTAGGAGGCCCGACTTGGATACCAGAAGAGGCTCCAGGAGGCCCCAGGATTGTGAGTGTTGTGCGTGTGTGTGCGTGTGCGTGTGCGTGTGCGTGTGCGTGTGCGTGTGCGTGTGCGTGTGTGTGTGTGTGTGCGTGTGCGTGTGCGTGTGCGTGTGCGTGTGCGTGTGCGTGTGCGTGTGCGTGTGCGTGTGCGTGTGCGTGTGCGTGTGCGTGTGCGTGTGCGTGTGCGTGTGCGTGTGCGTGTGCGTGTGCGTGTGCGTGTGCGTGTGCGTGTGCGTGTGCGTGTGCGTGTGCGTGTGCGTGTGCGTGTGCGTGTGCGTGTGCGTGTGCGTGTGTGTGTGTGTGTTTGTGATGTATGCTTCGTGTGGTGCGTGCTTTTTGTGTGTTGTAGGTGTTGTGTGTGTTATGTTTGTCTAGCGTGTGATGTGTTGGGCGTGATTTGTGTCTCTGTGTGCATGTAGTTCTGAAGCCCCAGGAGGCCCCAGGAGGCCCCAGGAGGCCCCAGGAGACCCCAGGAGGCTTCAGGAGGCCCCAAGAGGCTCCAGGAGGCCGCAGGAGGCCCCAGGAGGCCCCAGGAGGTTTCAGGACACCCCCAGGAGGCTCCGAGGCGGGGTCTGGGGTGCCAGAAGGTTCAGAAGGCCCAGGAGGCCCCAGGAGGTTCCAGGAGGCCCCCAGGAGGCTCCGAGGCGGGGTCTGGGGCTCGATTTTGGAAGGATTTTTCAAGCGAAACCGCCATTCACTGAGAATCGGGGTCACAATTATTGAAATTACCATGTGTTGTTGAAGGTTTTATGTTAAAATGGTGAATTTCCCATGTGTTTTTGGACCCTGACGTCGCGATCTGCGTGAGGGGTGCCACCGATTTTCAGAATTTCGAGGATGTCCCGAGCGAAACGCCCAGAAAAATCGCGGACGCTTGCGCATTAATCGCCTCTGAGGTCTACTCCCTCGGAGAGGTGCGTATGAGAATATATATTTATATATATATGTATATATATATATATATATATATATATATATATATGTATGTGCATACTGGGAAAACCCAATCATAATCTTTTTAGGGCTATGGGGCGATGGGACTATAGGGCTTTAGGACCCCGGCACCTGGGCACCCTGGCACCCGGGCACCCGGGCACCTGGCCACCCGGGCACCCGGGCGTGCCGCCGAAATCGGCGCCAAACCTCACATAACCATATGAATCGCTCGGACCCCTACAGTGGCAAGGTCTGATAGGGGGAATATATACATATATATATGTATATATATACACTTATATACATCTATAAATACACATACACTTATATACATATACGTGGACGTATAGAGGATTAGCATCGGGCCCATGCGAGCGTGAACTTCGCTCGCCTCTGTTCTGATGCAGCACCTGGCATCGGCATGGCATATCGGGTACATCGGGTGCATGTCCTGCATTTTATGTTTTGCCCATGCTACTTCTTCTCTGCGACTCTGGCTGGTGCGTGCCAGCCAGCCTACCTAGCAAGCGAAGCATCTGGGCCAGCTTGTTGCTGAGGGGGGAGAGGGGGAATACGGAGCGAGAGAGAGAGAGAGAGGAGAATCAAGGATGAGACGACCCCCTCTTTCCTGGTGTTTTGCCGCGGCGCTGGAGGCAGCGCGACGCCTCCTGAGATCCACGCCTCGCCCACTTGCCCGCTGTCTGCAGAAAAGCTGCAAATACTGGATGCCATGTAATACACGGACGTGCTGCTGGCTGGTCGATACAGAACTTCAGCCTCTGGAACTTCCAAATCAGGTTTCACACTCCAAATTGTGCACGATGAAGGCGACATATCGGCTCTCTGACTCGCAGATCCAACAGGAAAGTCCAGCCCCTGCCCATGCTGTTCGCGGCCATCAAGGCGCAACAATCCCGAGCAGCTCGCCTCGCCCGCAACCGTGCATGCCGTGGCAGCCAGGCCCCAGTGATCCGGAGCATCCCGCCCGGGGTGGTCCAACACGCCTGCAGATGGCCTTCACGACGGCGCATGATAGGCCACGTTAGCTCGAAATGGCCTGCAGGGTGCCTCCAGGACGTCTGACGACGACGATCTTATCGGCGCAGCACGCGTGCCCCCGCCATCACGTGACGTGGCAAACACACAATCGGCACTCCTCCCACAACTTCCCTTCAGCCGCTACGCCCATCATCCAACATCCTCCTCCCCGTCCTCCTCCTCCTCCTCCTCCTCCTCCTCTTTTTCATCGCTCCCCAATATCCGTCTCGGTGTTCCTCATCCTATTCCTTATCTCCTCCGCCTCCCTCTCCACGCCCTGCCTCCCTCCCCAAATCACTCACCTGCCCTCTTTCCCTCTGCTCCCACTTCCCTCATCCATCATTCGCATTACCACCTTCGTCCCTACTGGTTTCATCCTCCTCTCCACCCGTACAAACACCTTGCGCTAATGAGTCTCTCACGCATCGCCCCTCATCGTGGTCGTGGTGGTCGTGGTCGTGGTCGTGGTCGTCGTCACGTGCATCATCACCACCATCATCATCATCATCATCATCATCATCATCATCATCATCTTCATCATCATCATCAGCATCATCATCACCATCATCATCATCATCATCATCATCATCATCATCATCGTCACCATCACCCTCATCAGCATCATCGTCAGCATCAGCAACAACACTATCATCACCATCATCATCCTCCTCCTCCTCCTCCTCCTCCTCCTCATCATCATCATCAGCATCAGCATCAGCATCAGCATCAGCATCAGCATCAGCATCATCATCATCATCATCATCATCATCATCATCATCATTACCATCATCATCAAAACCCGTATCATCATCAACAACAACATCATCATCATCACCATCATGAACATTTTCGTCATGATAATCAACATCAACATCGTTATCACTCCCCGCTTCATCGTCCTCCCCCCGATGGCGCGCCCAAGGCCTCCGCGTGACCACCCCGGGCTGCCAAGAACAGCGGGGTGGCGCCACCAGACATCTCCTGCGGATTTGGGCATCCGAGACAGGACTGGGACAGACGGTTGGAGTGCAGGGAGACGGACAGGATTGGAGGAAGGACGGGCAGGACACAAACACATCACTCGCGTAGCGAGCTGGCTCATGAACCCGCGCGGCCGTGGCGGCGGACAAAATGGTGCTTCGCTGCCAAAGCGCACGTCAGGCTTGATAGGGACAGCAAGCCTCAGTGCCAAAGCACTTCCAAAAGAAACCTGCACTCGCATAACAGCCTGTGAAGAAGGAACTGACGGGATTGAACGAATCTCTCTCTCTCTCTCTCGCTGGCTCAGCTGATCTGGCTGTCCATCTCTCACATGCTCCGCGGCACGCGGCGCCATGCCGCTCCAGCACGGCCTGGGCGCTCACAGACCGGTTGCATAGAGCGTAACTCAAGGAACGGCGATTGAAAGCGCGCGATGCCTCCCAGCAGTGCGACCCGCAAGGCGAACGGCGCCTGCGCGCACAAAACCACGGCGAGGCCAGCGCAAATCCCATGCAGACGTTGCCGGAGAGCGGCGGAGGCACTGGAATGAAGGTGACGTTGGCCACCCAGCATCGTGAGGACGTCTTCTCGTGGACACCTACTCGCCCCCCTCCCATCTTACAGAGCAGCCAAAACACCCTGTTGCCGATATGTTCAAGGTTTTCGTTTCCCCCTCCCTTTACCATGTTTTCGTACATGTCAGCCTCTGGAAACCAGCGCTTACTCGTGTCTGTATCTCTACTTGTTCCTCCTGAGTTCATTAAGCGCCAATGATGGGGGTCAGGGTGCTTTCCCCTGCCTTCCACTGCGACTGCTGTCGGGCCGCTGGCCGCCGCGGGGAACCGCCGCAGCCTACAAGCCGAGATGGCTGGAGCCCTCTTTGGCCCTTGTCGACCTCTTGTGGGATGTCTCCAAGCCTTCTTTGGGCCCATGTTTGGCATCTCCTCGCGCCGTCGGGGGGTACGTCGCCCGACGGAAGGCGCGAAACATCAGAACACTGTCAGCATCCCCTCGCGACGGGGGCGACGAATTGGCGGACACGCAGTATACCTAGGACCGCTCGGCGACGGGATGGAGCGACTTCTCGGCCGTCATCAAGCCCCGCGTTTCGCGCATTTGGAGATTCCCTTGAGCCGCGCCCCAGGAAAAGCTAAAGCCGTCTGAGTATTGTGTTCGGCCATCGTCCACACAAGCAACGAAAACTGGAAAGGGCGGGCGGTGAACGCGAAGCGTCTTGAGTAGTGACGGAAACCAGGCAGAGAAGCAGAGATCGAGAGATGCAAGGGTGTGAACAACCAGACAGATGTATACACCCGGTGACAAGGCTTTAACAATAATGCGTGAGTGAAGGTAGACGCAGAGATAACGTCGAGGATACGCACGGATACACAAATGCGCTGACTCAGAAAAAGAGGTGTAATGAGGAAGGTGGATGGGAAAATGCATGAAGAAAACCATCCGGATCTGCACAATGGAACTGCATGGACATCCACGCGCAGCAGAGTTTATAAACATATGGCTCAGAAAGGAACATCATACGATACATGTCACAGAAAGGGATTAGGGGAACAACAAACAGGAAACAGCTGGAAGCAAAAACACTGTCAATTGCCAAAACGGCCAATTGACAACGGACCTGTGCGTTAAGCTGGAAGCGGCGTCCTTGTTCACCTGGCACGAAATCGAAGAGGCGCTGCCAGACGTGATTACCAGACTGAAGAAAAGAGATCACAGCACAAGATGCCGTACGAAACTCAAGGAATCTACTTGCCGCGTGTGGATCAATCATCAGGACTGCCGACCCCCGCAAGCACGAAGAAAGACAATCAGACGGAGAACGTATTGACAGATGTGGATGTGCACATATATATATATATATATAAATATATACAGAAAAGAACCCTGTGCGGACTGGTTTTCGGGGATCCGTGGAGCCGTCCGCGATGCCTTTGGACCTGAATCCAAAAAGACGTTCTCAGAGAACTACAAATCCACTATAAAAGGAATCCTGTTGTTCTCCGCCACAGAAAGAATCCTTTTTGGAATCCGCCACAAAAGGAATTCCCTTATGGCAGACGTACAGGTTGACCGACGGCGCAGGGGGTACCAGCGAAAACAAAAAAATAAGAAAAATTACCAGGAACAAAAAGAAACAAACAAAAAAGCCTGGGCCTCTCTCGTTTTTGAAGATTTGTGGCTGGGTACCCCCGCCAGAACAGGAATCCTTCTGGAATCCGCCACAAAAGGAATTCCTTTAAGGCGGACGTACAAGTTGACCGACGGCGCAAGGGGGTACCAACGAAAAAAACAATTCAAAAATTACCAGGACAAGAAAAAAAGAGAAACCGCCTGGGACTTTCTCGTTTTTTGAAGTTTGTTTGGATTAGTAGCCCCGGCACAAAAGGAATCCGATCGTGGTGGAAGTACACAACCAAAATTTCATTAAAAACGTGAGAGTCCCAGGCGTTTTTTTTCATTTGTTTTCTTTTCCTGGTGATTTGTTTGTCTTTTTCGTTGGTCGCCCCTGGGCCGTAGATACAAGTTGACCGACGGCACAGGGGGTCCCAACGAAAAAAGAAAACAATATTGCCAGGAACAAACAAAAAAGCCTGGGACTCTCTCGTGTTTTGAAGATTTGTGGCTGGGTACCCCCGCCACAGAAGGAATCCTTTTGGAATCCGCCACAAAAGGAATTCTTTTAAGGCGGACGTACAAGTTGACCGACGGCGCAGGGGGTACCAACGAAAAAAAAATGATAAGAAACAAAAAATAAAGCACGCCTGGGACCCTGTCGTTTTTTGAAGATTGTTTGGTTTAGTAGACCCGGCGCAAAAGGAATACTATTGTGGTGGGGGCACACAACCAAAATGCTATAAAAACACGAGAGTGTCCCAGGCGTTTTATTGTTTGTTTTTCCCCGTTTCCTGTTTGATTTTTGTTGGTACCCCCGGGGCCGCAGGTCAACTTGTACGTCTGCCATAAGGGAATTCCTTTTGTTGCGGATTCCAAAAGGATTCCTTTTGTGGTGGATTCCAAAAGGATTCCTTTTGAGGGG